GGCGGGCGGCGGGCAGGCGACGCGCACCTGAGGATCTCGGGGTGGCACGACAACGAGAGAGCGAGAGGGCGGCTCGGCGGGGGCGAGTCCAGGCGGCGCTCGGCGAGAAGCGGGGCTGGGCGCGACCCTGACGGCGGACGCGGACCTCCGCGGAGTTCGCGCCTCGCTCTCCTGCCGCCACCGCACCGGCTCGGGGGTGAGGGGGAGGGCAGGATGCGTGGGGGCCGGCGAACTGCGCCCTCCGCCTACCGCGCCCTCCTCGCCGCCGGGCCGGACCCCACCGGCTCGGGAGGAGAACTTGGAAGGTCCGGGCGAGGTGACCCTCTGCCCTTCGCGCCCTCGAACTTCCGCCCGGCGAGGCCGCACATCCTCTGCGGTCTGCCGCAGGGACCGGCCGGGAACCTGCCTCTGTCGCTCGGAGGGAGTCCGAGGCCGAGACTGGGGTCTTAGGGAGCCCCGGCACCTTGGCTACGGAGAGGGGGCTTCTTCCGGCGGGTCTGGCCGCGCCCCGCGCCCCGCAGGCCCTGGCGGCCCGGGGTGGGTATGGTGGAGCTAGATGGGGAGAGACAAAGTGCCCCAAACCTCCGCCCGGCGTCCCTGCTCCGTCACACTGACTCTTGGAATCTGCGCCTACGTGTTAGCTACAGTAGCTGAATCCGCTTCTGGATACAGAAAGCAAATAAAAACGGAGCCCAGTGGAGTGTGAGTGATCCCGTGGCCCGCGGAAATCTGGAGGGATTTCATCCGATTGGCACACTGCCCGGTGTCCTTTCTGAGGCTGCGGGCCAGGGCCCGTGCGAGAGGGTACCTGTGGGCAGGGAGGGGGCGTGCAGAGCGCAGGGGGCTCTAAATGTGTTTAAAGGAGCACATTCCTTGTTTGGGGGATGCAGACACTGGTGGGAGGGTTTCAGTTAGCTTTACTAGGTTCCTTAGCCAGCCGTCTAGAACATGGCAGTTGTGTAAAAGTTAGTTCCCTCTAGGGGCCAGAATGGACAGTTCCCATCTCCTCGTGCCCTTCAGGCCTCAGAATATCTTCGTGACAGCCATCTGGTCTCTTTTTCCAAGCCAAGCTCCTCCCTTCCTTGACTCTTTCCACATGTCTCCAGACAGACAGCCTCCTGTTGAGCTCTACATTTCTATTTGCTCTCTGGCCATCTCTTTCTGATGTGCCCTAAACACTCCACCAGGGCACTCACATCTCCCCATGCCACCAGGAGGCCAGCAGAAGGTGAGAGCCGGTCTCCACTTCTCCTGCACCTCCTGTCACCTACATGCCAGTGCCTCACTGAGCCCCATGGGTCCCCAGACCTTTAAAGCACGACCCCAATCCTTGGACCTGCCCCCACCCAGCTCACCCTCCCTCTGTTCCTTTTCTAAAATATGGGGCTGCTTTGGTCCCTCCCCTGCTTAACAACCTGCCTTGGACTACCATCACCTGCGGGGGAGGCCAGCCTCCTGGCACTGTAATGGGCTCTTCAGTTCCTTGCCAGCTTCCTAGAGCCGCTGTCCTTGCTGACTCCTCTGAGGCTTTGGTTTCACACACTTTTCCAGGCTCTGGGCTCTCTGCTCCTAGGGTCAAGTAGTTACTCTGGGGGGTGTAGGCGCACTGGGGCACCCCTCCCCCAGGCCCTTTCCTTTGTGTAACCAGCAGCATTGGCTGACACTGTAAGTCACTTTTGCCAATAGGACTGTTCTTACACGAAGCCACGGGCTCCTCCAGGCTGGGCACTATGATATCCTACTCATCTTTCATCAGGGTCCAAGGAAGAGCATGTGTGGCAATCACTAGAACCTCCTGCTTTGCACGGTTTCACCACCTCTCAGTCTGGGTGCAGCACTCAGTGAAGCTGTTACTTTCGCACTTTGCTGCACCAAGGGGAAAAGATTAAATTTTTTTAAAATCAGAAAATATTCAAGTGAAATTACATTCAGGGTGGGCAAAAGTAGATTTATAGTTGTTTGTACAATTATTAATAAATAATAACACAAGAATAAACTGTGTTTTACATACTCACAACTGTTAGCCAGCTGTGAGCATTAAGGTGAGCATACTAAAACCTTCCAGTTGAAAAATAAGCTAAAAATATCTTCCTAATTATAAAATCAGTTTAGAAAGTCATTGAGTTCTGAAGGCATATAACCTTAAGCTAAATTCCCCATGTTCTATTTTCTATCACATTTAGTGCTTATTTGGCAGGAAATTATAACATCTCCATTTAACTGACATTTTACTCACAATATACTTTATTCACAAAATGTAGATAAATTTTTCAAATATGCCTGATTAGTACATGGTCAGTGCTCTATAAGTATTTGTTAAGGAAGTAATGGTATTTTTGTTTGTTTGTTTGTTTTTTAAAATATATTTTTATTGGTTTCAGAGAGGAAGGGAGAGAGATAGAAACATCAATGATGAGAGAGAATCATTGATCGGCTGGCTCCTGCATGCCCCTTACTGGGGATCGAGCCAGCAACCCGGGTTCATAGATCGATGCTCAACCACTGAGCCATGCCAGCCAGGTAGTAATGGTATGCTTTAAAAAATATTTAGTGTTAAAAAAAGGATCAGTGGATGGGAGAGAAAAGGAGGCATATATAATACTTTCAACAATAAAGATTTTTTTTAAAAAAATAAAGAAGAATCAATGGACCAAAAGGGAGTCACTTTTGCCAAAACAAAATTTAATAACTAACCTAATGCAGTCTCAGACTTTGCCAGGCGTGGAATTTTAAGCCAATCAGTATTGAGTTTCTTGGTCCTCCCTAGTGGAGGTCATCTGCTTGATAAGACCCCCGCCTTCCCGAAGGGAAGGGTTCTTGTCTGAAATAGTTCAACTCCTTTAACTTCTTAGTCCCACCCTCTTTCTGCCTATCAAGAATCTTCCATTTGGAGGGACTCAACGGAACACGCTTCCAGTTGCTAGATGGGATGTTGCCTGACTCATGAATCACTTAGTAAAGCCAATTAGATCTTCAAGTTTACTCAGCTGAGCTCCGTTTTTGAACATTAGTTATTTTATGTATTTTATCTAAAGATTGTTTATTTTTTCCTTTGAATTACAAAGAGTAAATGTTGGGGAAAAGTAGATTCTTATTTATATAGCCCTCTCAGGCTTCAGGAATCCTCATTTATAAAATGTTACCTTATTCTGAGGGAGAATTGCTAGAAGCAGAAGGAAGTTTAAAAATGATCTGGTCCAACACATTTATTTGACAGAAAAAAAGGAACAGAACCAGAGGGTTAAAATGGCAAGGTCACACAGCTGGCTAATGGCAGATTTTGGAAGAATATGCTAGTAAGTCAAGACTGTGTTGTGTGGGATAAGGAACTGCACATTTCTATTTAATTATTCTAAAGGTTTTTAGGGTTACGTGACCTGGCAACAGACAATCAAATGTTAAAATACATTTGTCTTCAATCTAGTAGGAAAAATGACATGGAATTGTTTTTTGTAGTGAGGAGATAATCCTCAAATATATATTGGAAACATCTAGAAACAGGTGCTTGATAACTTTTAATTACTTGCATCTTTCACATCTATAAACACAGTTTATTTTTATCACTCTCAAAAGACTTTTTTCAGTTGCTTTGAAAAATCAACAAATTCAAACCACATAGGCAGCCCCAGCAGTAAATCCATGGAAAGCTAGAAGAGATAAATGAACCCCCAAAATCTAGGGAGAAAGTTGGGGAAAGGACAGGAGGTAGCCTCTCTCACCGAAGCTCCACCTGGAAACCCATATTTGATGTTTACAAAGGTTTCTCCGTAAGGAGGGTGGTCCCAGGTAGACTTGTCCTGTTGTGGTTGGAAGTCTTTACTGGAGAGGGGGAGGTGGATGTCTTTCCTTAGTTTTGATCATAAGGATAATTTGTAAATGTGGGATTGTAACATTCTGTGGAAATAAGTTAAGCACAATTGGTTTAGCCCCGTGTAGTATAAAGCATTATTTGTGCCCAAAGAGAGGCCTGGGCTTTGCCCTGGACTCCTGGGAGGTGCTCTCTAAGCTGTCAGAATGTTATGTCTGTTAAGAGCATCTTTGCTTACCTGGGATCCTGGGGCCATACCAGAAAAGGTAGGGATTTGGGGCCATATGGTAATAGCTTAATGTCCAGAGGAGCTGAAGACTGAGGTCAGCCACCTGGGTGACTAACCAGTTCTAGCTGATCAGGCTCCAATAAAAACTCTGGACACTAAGGCTCAAGGGAGTTTCCCTGGTTGGCAATATCGTCACACGTTGTTTCAGGAGAATGTTAGCACTGGCCACAGTACCACAGGGACAAGGTAACCAGAAGCTCTGTGTAGACCTCTATGCATCTCTGCCCTTGGCTGATACAAATGTGTAGCCTTTCAGCCTTGGCTGATGTGGCTCGGTTGATTGGAGCATTGTCTCGTACACTGAAGGTCACAGGTTTGATTCCCTGTCAGGGCACGTACCTAGGTTTTGGGTTACCCCATCAGGGCACATGCTGGGACAAAGGGTAGCCCTATCTTCAATTATGAGATGCAGACAATTGTATGACCTTGATAGAAATGTATTCTCAAAACAGGTTTCCCCAAATAACTCATGGATAAGGTGCTATAGTGCTGGTGTGCTTATCTGAAACTGTGGGAAATGAGACAAGAGCCTGGGACTGTGGGTTTCTTTGGAATATCCCTAACCACAGAGTCTGAGACACACAGGG